CAGCTGTGTGTTGTTGTGTGTTTAGAGCGACCTGATGATTTATATTGGCCGAGTATTGGATGAAGCAAAGAAAGAGTGGGATCAAGGAAAGGAGCCGAGAAGAGATGATGGTTGCTACGCCAGTCCTGTGGCTTATGATGTCATCCAGGTAGAGTTGCTGCAACAACTTGATATTAAAGAGACTGAAATCGATGCTTTTTTAAAAAATGTATTAATATAAATTGAAAGGCGTCACTTGTGGTGGCCAACTTCAAGGATCCTTATCATGGGTTCGTTGACTTCTAATTGTTGACCATTACTGACCATGATTAGAGGCTTTGTATACATTGCTATGTCAGAACTGTGCAATAAAATTATTGTGGTGAAGTAATGACGAAACATTGTTTTGATCATAGGAGAATAAATGTGCAGACAAATATTTTCCAGCCTGCTGCACATATTAACCAAACTGAAAAAGAATTCTAGAAACTTTGATAAAAAGATTAACAAACAAATAAAGGACCGTCATTATTGTTCGGGTCATTTATAGAAACTCATTTACTGTCAGATTCAAACCCTCCCATGGTTCTGTAGTTTAATCACTTGGGTTTGTCACTAACATTGTAAAGCACTGGGTTTGGTTCCTGGTGTTTAACTGGATCTGAAAATGATGCTTTGGGTACTTAAAACTGCCACTGATTTGTCAATCCATTTGTCTTCAGTTTATCTACGGCATCGTGACATCAGTACATATAACTGTAAGAGACCGACACAAGGCCCAGGAAATAACATCCAACCTGACAGACTTCATGCAGAGGTAACAAGGCTTCACAAGGCTGTCTTTTAAATATTGTCATTTGAAAATACATTTTAGTTTATGTTTGGTAAAAACAAGATAATAAAAGTGAAAGCTGTTTTTTTCTGCAGGTATCAAAAATTTCACGAAGACATCATGAGGCAGAACAAGCCGCACAGCAAAGCTTTCATAAAGGCAAACCTCAGCTGTGTCGAAAAGTTCAGGTATGTTTCTGATCCAGTTAGATGGAAATTCAGATTTTAACTTCATCATAACAGGCGAATACTTCACTGTGAGCTGATGTGTCCTGTGTGGTCTGTCTAAAGGGACTTCCTTGTGAAGCACGATCTGTTCCCAGAGGATGTGCGGGAAAACTGTTTGCAGGTCCTGACTGAGATGAAACAGTCTGCCCACACTTATTTATTAACCCCTGTGCACAAGATCCTCAAGGTAAGTTCTTTACAACTGCAGATATCAATAATCATCAGGATTAAATCCTAATATGTTTTAATCAAAGATTTTAAAACAATGTGTTATTTGTTCCTCACACAGCCACACTACCAGAAGGTGGGAACCAGTGACTGGCTGAAGAAGAACACGTTTGAGAAGCTGCTGAACAGCACTGAAGACGAGCTTCAGGAACTTCAGGGTTCGAGTCAATCCTGTCATCAGGTAGAAACATGACAGCGTGAAACTTTGCTATGAAGCCATTATTACCAACTTTTAAATCAATGGACTAAAATATGATCTTGTTACTTTCATTCAGGAGCTGATTGGTCGGCTTCAGCAGGAAATGACAGTAGAATATGTCCGGAGGCTCCTAAAAGGAGAGGTCAAACTGAAGGACAAGGATCGTCAGCAGAAGGCTTACATGACTGTGAAAGAAAATGCAGAGAGACTGCACGAGCTGTTTGCCAGAATGGTGAGACT